GCTACAACAACAAGTAATAGTAATAAATAAAAAAATAAAAATACTAGAAACATTTTTTTAACGTTCGTAATCGATCATCGAAGTTAATCTATACTAATATTACAAAGAGGTACTGTTTGTGAGTTTGTGATGTTGTAGGGGGTAATCTCTGGATCTACTGAACCGATTTAGATGAAATTTGGTAAGAAGATAGTTTGAGACGATGGTAAGGACATAGGATACTTTTTATCCCGGAAATAATTCCTGAGGGGGTGAAAATTTGGATGGAAAGTTTGTATGGGGAATCAACATAGGGACGAACCCGAGCGAAGCGAGGGTCAGTCGCTAGTATACTATATATATAGTCATATTAATAAAAAGTACTTGTACGATGGTACGGAACTTTGCGTGTGCGAATCCGACTCGCATATGACCGATTTTATTAACCGTTAAGATTTAAAACATTAATTTGTTCAAATATATTTTTTTAGTTTACATTGTCAATATATTTATGGATGTACAGTTGAAAAATTATCGTTAAGTTTATCTGTAAAAGATATTTTTTCTTTAAATATAAAGGTATTTGAATCATTTAAGGTAAACTATATTATGTGCATAACAAAATTTACCTTGTATTTTATTTAAAATTCCTAATCTAGTTTAAATGAAAAAAAAAATCATGTTAAAACAATAAAAGAAATGATTCGCACAAGAAAATATCAGAGATGCGAGACCCGGGATTTGAACCCGCTTAACTCGGTTTCCCAAGCGAGCGCGTTACCACTGGGCTACCACTGCCTAATATCTCATTATATAATGATTATTTAATGATATTGAATCTATTTATAGTTGAGGTAATCTAATATTAGTAGATACCTGTAAGATTGCCGTTAATTTAGCAAAAACAAAACGACAAGGTGGTTCTGAGAGAAGTTGGTTCTAGCTTATGCCTTATGCGGTAAAATCTAAGCTACAGTGAGTACTGAACAGAATAATTAACGACATACGAAAAAACGCTTAACTATATATTCATTATTTACTATAGATGGATTATGTAGGAAAAAATCTGTCAAAAAAATTTACAGTTAATAAAATAGCATAGATACAATGCCTTAATTTGTAAAAAATATCATCTTAGTAGGTATATGTTAAAAACATTTATTATGTCTTTAAATGGTTTTTAATAAGCTACTCGCGAATGACCTATTTCTAGGAATCAATTAAATTAAATCCTTTGCTTATATAAGTATAATTGTTGCATATTAACGGAAACTGATGTAAAATAAAAACAATAATCTATACATATAATAAAATTCTAACTAAGCCGAATCTTTACATTAAATATTTTTTGAAAAATCTTATTTTAATAGACATTATTAACGATACACGAATATATAGTTTTTAGAATTTTTGTCTGTCTGTCTCTTACCGCATCACGGAAAAACTACTGGACGGATTTTGATGAAATTTGGTATGGTGATAGCTGGTTATCCGGGTCAGCATATACGATACTTTTTACTGCGGGAAAATGTCTCATTTCTGAGAAAAAATACAAAAACTGCAACGTAAGAGTATTCTAATATGTAAAACTTAAGAATTTGGTTTTTGGTCATCTAAACCCGGGCGGAGCCGCGGGCATTGCTAGTTAAATATATTAAGTATTAAATGTCTTTCACTGATAAACTAAGTACCTACCTTAAAAACCTAAGAAAAAACTAAGTAACTAAGCACTTTATCTAATTTGAGTACCTAATATAGATAAAATGTTTTATGATCGTGTAATATAATTTGAGAGCCAATGCCAAAATTTTATTAAGTGCCAGTTGCATTTGCCGAACGAACGAGAAAGTGGATAATAAGTAGAGCTTTATCTGAAAAGTAAAAGTTTGCATGGAACGTACATACGGACGTCATGATTAATGTTTTATGCATATACCTATATGTAATGTTTTATGTAGATATAAATAAATAAATGGAGCAAATGAAATGATTACGTATATCGTCATTAAATAAGAATTTGTAAAGATAAATACATAATTGCTACGTGATGAAGCATGTACCTACGTCTTCTCGTATTATTTATGGGTTAGGAATTTACACGTGCTCAATCAGAAAAAAATGTCTGGTATATTCGCAAATTGACGAATCTGGATATGAACAAAAGCCCTTATACCTTGTGTTATTATTATAAAATACTTAACTTCATGTTGATTGCATTTTGCCTATTCATAACCTTTGTAATATCAACAATCGATAATAATAAAAAGTGCATTAGTAAGCAAGTGCTAATGATGCATTTGAACTATGATGTGTGCTTTACACGTAAGTGGACCCTAAAGGTTTCTGCATTACTCGTAGCATCTCCTTGTTTACTTAACAAAAGTCAGTACATACTAACATATAGTTAAACCTCGTACATTAAAAGAATAAATAAATAATTTTGTTTTAAAGATGTCGACAGTAAAATGTTTAATATCAATTATAAATAAAACAACTGGCAAGTAAAAAATTTAGAGACATCGCTGGCACAGTGATAACTAACAGGATTCGACACAAAACCATATGGTCGCGTCCAGGAAAGGGCTTGCCTTTCGGTGAATTTAAAGCAGACCCGACTCGTTCAATAATGCCTCATGAAATAATTCTCACGACGAACAAAGGTGTCCATTGGCGAACCATAACTTTTACGGCCGTCCCGATATTGAATTTTGCCATTTATGCACATTCATTATGTTTATTATGAATGACATTTTTATTACAATTACCTTGGCACAAAATTGGAATCTATTGTCATTTGTTAGAATCAAACAACATTTTATAATTTGTAGCCGTCTCATATATTAAATGCCTCTGGATTATGATTTTAATTAAATTTCAGGTATCGTGTATTTCAATATTTATACTATAAACTAACATTGCCTGTGGCTCCGCCCGCGTTCAGATGACCAAAAACGAAATTCTTAGGTTTTACATATTAGTATACTCTTAAATTGTGTTTTTGTATTCTTTCTCAGAAATGAGATATTTTCCTGCAGTAAAAAATAACCTATATGTTGACCCAGATAACCAGCTACCATCATACCAAATTTCATCCAAATCCCTCCAGTGGTTTTTCTGTGATGCGGTAACAGACAGACAGACAAAAATCCTAAAAACTATAGATTCGGCCTCTGTATCGATAATAAAGACATTATTATTTCAATGAGATTTTCCAAAAAATATTTAATGTACAGATTCGGCTTACTTAGTTACAATTTTATTATATGTATAGATAATGAAAATATTGTACAACATATATTAATGTTTGCAATATTTTATATTATAAATTGAAATACGTGTATGCGTTCCAAAGCAATTTAAATAGATATTGCGTATATAGTAGGAACATGTATATTAATTACATTACACAAATACGCTATAATGCAAATAATCGTTTTTTTGTTTGAGATAAAATCTAAAATACTCAAGTCTTGGCGAGGATTCACTAACATTGTATAGTTCTTCTGCCTTTAGAAAAAAGTTTATATCGGTGATCAAATAAAAGGAGCTTAATAGCCAACATCGCACTAGTAGGGTTATAAGTAACATTCCAGGCACGCATCGTATCCGAGGAATGTATTGCTCAAGAGTTAGGTATTACTAATCGTCCCTTGGCTTCTTTGCTCGAGTCGAAACAAAAAGCTAGTAATTTGTTCTTAGCTATAATCTGAAGAGCCTTTTTCAATTTATTATCTATACATATAATAAAATTGTAAGTAAGCCGAATCTATACATTAAATATTTTTTGGAAAATCTTATTGAAATAGACATTATTATCGATACAGAGGCCGAATCTATAGTTTTTAGAATTTTTGTCTATCTGTCTGTCTGTCTGTTACCGCATCACAAAAAAACCACTGGAGGGATTTTGATAAAATTTGGTATGGTGATAGCTGGTTATCCCAGTCAACATATAGGATACTTTTTACCGCGGGAAAATGTCTCATTTCTGAGAAAAAATACAAAAACTGCAATGTAAGAGTATACTAATATGTAAAACCTAAGAATTTGGTTTTTGGTCATCCGAACGCGGGCGGAGACGCGGACAATGCTAGTTTTATAATAAGTGTTTAATAATAACTTTTAATTATTTTCCTTTAAGAGATAATAATGATTCAATATTGATTACGGGGATAACTTCCACATATTATACATAAAGGTTTTACTCATGATAATGTTAATTTAAAACCTTAGTTTTATTGTAGAAACGGTCCAAAGAGGTCATGGCCTAGAAACCAAATGCATTTGCAATTTCGTTTTATTAATCTGCATTGCTGGATTGTTCCGGCTCCGGTGCGATGCAATATAGAGTGCATGCATTCCATGTTATTCAGGCCTTACAATTTTTAAAAGTAAAAATATTATGTTAGATTATATAGAATTATGCGTAAAATGAAAATTAAACGAATTTTATGTTTCTACAGCGTGGCGTAATTCATTTTTGTAGGAGTAAATCGTTATTATAATTGTTTGTCCTAATTGTTTTATTTTAAAAATTTGGATAATAGCGAATCTGACTCGCACACAGAGGTTACCGTAGCATAAAGCATTAAAACAAGTGTATAATAGCAAAAAAATATGTCTGATGTAATTACAAAATTTACTTTTTTCGAATATTTCCCTTCAATTGTGCTATAAAGACATTGTTTCTTCCCAAATTTCAAGATTCTAAGTTAATGGGAAGTACCCTAGAGTTTTGATTCTCTTGTATGTGTCAAAATACGCGGCATAACCGACAGTATTTTTTGATGACGTTGATTGAGAAACTTGATGTTTTTACATCGCTGAAGGTCAAAGGAATTAACCTGAGTATTTGATATTCATTTCAACTTGTTACCTCCACGCGTTCCTGAGAAAAAGGGTCTTGACAGACAGACGGACGGTCAACCAAATGATCCTACAAGGGTTTCTTTTTTCTTTTGAGGTATGTCCATACCTATATAACAACGGTTAAAAGTAGTAAAAGTGGATAAAAATCTTACCTGTACACACGGCTTACTAAGCGAGACGCAGAGACCGTCAGCATCTTTGCTATAGTGCTCGACAAGCTCTTGGAGTGTTCGGAAAGTGGTGCGGCGCGCGATGAAGAAGCCACCCTCGTCTAGCTGTCTGATGCGATAGTGCTTGACCGTGTCACCGTCTCGAACTAAGGAACATAATATGCTTTACTTAGTTAACCCTTATCATCTTAAACGTTATAAAGCATTGTTATTTCGTTTTTGACGATAATGTGTACGGATTCATAATGTTAGAATAACTTTATCATTATAATAAAATTCTTATTAACAATTACAAAAAGTACAGTTGAAATGAAGTAATAGACTTTACTAAAAGCAATTATTGCAATAATGCAATAATTCAAAAGAAAAGTACATAACTCTAGCCCATAAATATATTTGTGCAGAAAACATTTTTATTATTATTATATTTATTGCTTTGTTACTGCGTGAAATAAGAATAAACAAATTTGATGATAATATAACTTACAAGTATTGTCAATTTGTTGTCTTGAAACATACCTACATATATTTTTTGACAATGAATAATATATAGCTATCCGTGGGAAAACTTTGGCAAGAACAAGATTGTTATACATCTAATGCATATACGTGCCCACCCAATATTTTTTACACCATTGAAGTAAAGACGTTATTCAAATCAATGCGCATCCAGAGAACCTAAAGATATTTGGAGTTATGTATCTTCCATTCTAAAAAGACGCACATTTAGAATACCAAGTACTCTGTTGCCGTATTTCCTGTCCAAATAAAATTCATGTCAATGACTTAATACACTGAGGAATTCGACGAATATTTTTTTTGTCTCCAAAGGTGACGATGGTTGAAACATTGCCGTTATCATTAAATTGATCATATTTTATTTAAAATAAAAATGCAATCGCGATTTATTTAATTAGTTGTATGTGCGCGTTGTTTTCTAGAATTATGTTATGTAAACTTCTAAGAAATGATTTTTATTGTGCAAATTGAAATAAAAATTATTGACATAGACATTCAACAGCTCATATGATATTAAATTACAGGGTATATCATTTGTGGTTACGTATCACACAATAACATAATGCTAATTACAGTTAATTACAAAGGAAGTAAATATAAATAATCAAGGTATAAAAAATATTCTGTAGTATAATATTAAAATATAACCACCATGAATCGTGATGGTATTGTATAGACTACACATTTATAATGTAAAGAACAATAGAAAAAAACTATGGAATTGAAGGTGTTATATTGTAAATTAAATATGCTAAACTTTCTACAGTACATAGAATATTATCATATGGGCAGTAATAGTAGGGGAGCCCAAGAGGGGATTTTTGTAGTTACTCAAGCGCGGCAGATTAACATAAAAGAGGTTACCTTGCACTCTATTGAGTACTTTCACCATAATATAAGTCTTCTATATAAAGGCGCGCGTCTAGGGAAGCCGATTAAAATATTTAAAAAATGTTTTGATAAGGTAGAAATACTTGAAACCGTCAGATTAAGATGTGGTAGGCTAGTCGCATCCTGAAAAGTGTCCAATTCAATAATCTGCCGATTTGCACAAGCCGAAGAGGCAAAAATCGACTATAAAATTTATGATGATTATGATGCGACTAGCCTACCACATCTTAATCTGACGGTTTCAAGTATTTCTACCTTATCAAAACATTTTTTAAATATTTTAATCGGCTTCCCTAGACGCGCGCCTTTATATAGAAGACTTATATTATGGTGAAAGTACTCAATAGAGTGCAAGGTAACCTCTTTTATGTTAATCTGCCGCGCTTGAGTAACTACAAAAATCCCCTCTTGGGCTCCCCTACTATAATACTTTCTTAGATTTACGCGAATATTTGACATTTTAAAATAAAACTATCTTTTCGGATTATTTCGCGGATTTATTTTTATTTTTGGTTCCCGACGTTTCGAATGCTTTACAGCAATCATGGTGACGGGAGAGATTGAGGTGTTAGATGTCTCGAAGGTATAGTTGTTACAGACAGCCTACCCACATATAACAAAATGAAAAATTGCATCAAGTACCTTACAATATTTTATAACTTTAAACATTTTTATAATTTTAATTAGTTTTATAATTCTATATAATAGCATTTGAAACGTCGGGAACCAAAAATCATAATAAATCCGCGAAATAATCTGAAAAGACAGTTTTATTTAAAATATGGACAATAACTTCGAATATCATTTTAGTATTCCTTTGTAATTTACAACTTTCGATTAAAGTTAGATTATACATATAAATATTATGAGTTATATACCCCAAGTGCGAAATAGATCTAAGCTAGCGCGGCTGATAAAGAATAATTTTAAATTACAAGGCACTTCAATTATCCTAATAAATAATGTAAGAAAAATATTTCTAGTAACTTTTATGATACGCTATCGAGCAAACCAAAAAAGGTAATAAATACATAAAAATCATCCATATTTGTGACAATCTATATATATATTTTTCCAATAAAATGGAATAAAATAAATATATTTCAATTATTATAAATATTTCTTCTGAACAATTGCATAAGCTACGTGATCAGAAAATTAATTGGTAATATTACATACTACGTAATCTCGTAATTACTCGACTCGTCACTTATTCGGATCGGTATTACAAATAAAGTAAGAGCTACTGAACGAAATGTAGGATTTCGTTAATATTCAAAAGCGGTGTCTCTGAAGATGTAAGCCTCGATTTGGTGTATTTTAACTTTTCTTTTAATATGCAGGTATAAAAGCAGAGCAATCTTTGGAGAGGATCTGCATTTCTCCCATTACTGAGGTTTGTAGGGCAATCTTGCATGAATAAGGTTGTTTTTATCAAACTAGACAGTATGCAAAATATGTCATATCATAACTATCTTGCTATTTACGCTAAGGTTATCTGTATAATTTATTTGTGGAGAGATTTTATAAACTACCTGTTCTTCCCCCTTCTCTACTATTATGATCGTCGTATACGCAATTAGAAATTTTTACATGGACCTGAATAGTAGAACCGGAAATTTTTCAAATTAATTGCGCGTCTGACTTTAATAAATTCAAAAACAATATTTATTTGTAACAGATAATCGAATAAATTGTTATTTTTAACAATGTAGTATCATTAGATGATAAGACCACTTATACAGTTAAAGACTCAAATTCTGTATTAATTATAGCTACTGATTATATTACAGTTAGAACCATTCCCAAAGTCGTCGTAAAGTACTTTTAAATAATTTGTTTTCACTATAAAGTACAAATTGTTTTCGCTAGTTCTAACTCGTATTAGGAGTATTTAAAAATATTTCACTAAAAGTGCTATATGTCACTCAAATATAGAAGACTAGCATTGCCCGCGGCTCCGCCCGCGTTCAGATGCCCGAAAACCAAACTCTTAGGTTTTACATATTAGTATACTCTTTACATAGTAGTTTTTGTATTTTTTTACAGAAATGAGATATTTTCCTGCGGTAAAAAGTATCCTATATGTTGACCCGGATAACCAGCTATCATCATACCAAATTTCGTGAAAATCTATCTAGTGATTTTCTCGTGATGCGGTAACAGACAGACAGACAGACAGACAGACAAAAATTCAAAAAACTATAAATTCGGACTCTGTATCGATAATAATGTCTATTTCAATTAGATTTTCCAAAAAATATTTAATGTACAGATTCGACTTAGTTACAATTTTATTATATGTACCTATACTCGTAGATAGATTTTTATCGTAAGCAACAATACTCGCTTGCTAAACACAAGTTTAAAAGCAGTTGAATTTAACATCCCATCAGACAGTTTTTAGATCCCTACGTTAGTGTCTGCGTTAGGAAGACATAAGTAATTACATGTGGCGACAGCCGGACCTAGAACGTGGCTTTATTCTCACGACTTACGGTCATAGAGATAGAAAAAGTTCAACCGGTTTCCCATCGGAATTGAATCTTCTATAAGGTAGATGATTCAGTATAATATAGATAGCTGTGTACAGTCTCTGCAACTAGCGTCCGCCTTCTGGTTTCGGTCACGTATGTATGTATGTATGAATATGTTTGCATTTTTACGTTTTTTCCTACTGCACTACTTTCTTAAAAAATAAGTATTCTCATCGGGTCAGCTTTTTATGTCGGTCGATTTACTTTTTGAATGTTGTATTTAATTGCTAATAACACAAATTAAACTAACAATTCTGTGGTGTCAAGGTAAAAGGGGATGAGTCATAAAAATTGAAAAATGAGTTATTGATATGATCATTTATTTTAATAAATAATAATTAATAATATGATTTTTAATTACCATAAAAAGGCACCACTTTTAAATGAAAAAAATGACAAATATGTTATAAACAACCTTTTCTTTTCTTTTGTTAAAATACATTTGTTTTGAAATGAATAAGCGTTTAAATTTTTCGCCTCTGGTGAAAAGTTGTATTTATTGACTCATCCCCTTTTACTTCGACACCACAGAATTCGTGTATATGTATATACCTATATAAAATTTTCGGAAACGGCTCTAAAGATTTATATCAAATTTTGTACTCAGATAAGGTTTTGCGTTTTAAGTTTATCTATATCTATATAGGTGTTTTCTTATATAGATCTTTTCCGAATAAACACAATTGTAGAAAACCTACTGACTTTGACTACAACTGAATAATATAAAATATAAACATTAAATACTTGTGTAGTCGTAATAAATTGTTTTTAAATGTATTTCTATTAATATTGAGTGACATCGGAATTTAAGTTATTTTATGCCGGTAATTTTGTTTTTAAGTCCCTGAAGTGTTATAGAAACAATGGTCACTTAAAATTATAAAAGAATAAATGCGTACTTCATGTTTAAATTATACAAATTAGGCTAGTTTTCAAAGATAATAGCAACACGATTAAGCATGAATAAACTTTAGCGTATCGTATTTGAAAAGCCTTGGAGACTGTGAAGATTTGTGTGGAAAATTAGCGCATACTAGGAAGTTAACAAATACTACCTGTAAATATATTTTATTATATATGTATGTGATAAATTTCATATTAGCGCTAAGTTTGTTTAAGAGAAGATATTAATTTAGATGCATATAAAACAATAGAAAAATATATGAAATAGACCAAATATGATAAAAGTATCAAAATAAACAACAAAAATTAATGAAAATATAATAACATCAACAGTCAACAGGTATTTATTAATTGTAACTGTAACTATTTTTTTAGATAACATAACAGTGTGTGTGTGCCTCTACGATCATATAAACAATTTTTATAATTATAACATAATCATTCGACATTGATGCTTTCGTTACATTGAAGGTAACGAGAAAGCATTTGAATTTAGTTTTCTCGTGAAGATGATAGAGTCACCCCTCTCGTCGCGAGTTAGTATTTCATTCATTTACAAGTATTGATATGCAATCCGGTCACAATGACGTATATTGACAATATGAATCGTAAAGGCATACTATACAAATATATAACATATACTGACATATATATAACAAACAAAATTACCTGATAATGAAAAATCATTGTGACGACTTTCAGAATCTCTGATGAGGAAAGCACCATGTTCATTCTCGGGCAGAAGCAACTTTTTCTCTGCTTCGATTCGTTTTATTTTGCGGAAGTACCATCTGGAAAAGAAAAATAAAAGAATAAAAGTACAGATAAAAATCGCTAATCATAAAAACTTTGCAATGGTAATGATAATGCGCAGTCGGAAAGCAGGGCGACAATGAGTCAACGTGGTAATATTTTGCATTCAATTGGCGTGCGTTGAGTGCGGCGAGAGCAAAACTTATTGTATTAACGTCCTTTAGACATAGATGTATATTTTTATTTGTTCATTATACATTTTAACTGCCATTCTGCTAAGAGTAAGTACGTCTAGTACAACTTAAATCTGATAAAAAATTGGCATTATATTGTAACGAATTTAATGATTAGATAGTACTAATGTTAGGTATCAATTTAAAATTCTAAAGAAAACAGTGAGTATTTACACGTGTGTCAAAATCGCACTCAGAAATTAACATAAAGTATAATTTTCTTTATTTGTAGTAAATAAAAGAATAATTTTTGTCAAAATATATTGCACAATACATATTTTGCAAGACATGTGTAGTTGCAGACGAGGTCGTCGTGTTGCGTATAATAAAACTGTAAAAATTGTATGGAATAAATTCAAAATAATAATTTATATCCATAAAGAGTTTTCTGTAATATATTATATGTGTGTAATTGCCGTAATAAGCATTGACAATGTCTGTTAGACCGAAATCCTCGTTGGGCAAACTTTTAAATAAACTAAATACACCGATATTCACTGGACACTCCTTGCCTCTTTGCCTCCTTGATCTTACAATGTTGCGCTTTAGCTTTAACAGATCGAGAAAAATTATCGTTTCTAATTATATTACGACATAGTTATATTTCTTCTTATATGACGTTATTTCATGTTTAACTTAAGTATTTTCGAGAAATAGCATCGTAGTCTTACACTACTATAAAGAGTTAATAATTATTTTTCGTATAAAGTATAAACAAATACGTATGGGCTAAATCTCGTTAGCCCATTCTAAAAAAAATATTTTACTTGTCAAGTACTTATAAAGATTGTAAAAATTGTTTTATATACATATGTATAGTAACTATCCTTGTGAAACATAGATTTTTATAAGGCGCTTTAGAATGCACTTTATAAATAATTGCACCAATTTAATTAGGGCAAGTATTATTTAAATGAAATAGGTACACATAGAAAATGATAACAATAATCTAACATAAATGTATTACCATCAATGCCATAGGAATAATAAGTAAGTTCTGTTTAAAACATTAATGTTAATAGCTTGGATTCTTCCGAGAGATGCGAATGAACCCTTAGATTCTAATTAACTAATACGACTGAAGTTGATCATTATCAGTTATCACGATTAAACGAAAGTGTACACTTAGGTATACATACCTATATAATTAATCAACTTGTGGAACAGGAAAGGAAATGGTCAAAATCGATGTCTACACTCTACAGACTCGAAAAAGTCGAGATGCTTAGGTATGTTTTAAATATCGAATATATAAAATATAAAAAAAAATTCTTAAATGTCACACCAAATTAAATATAATATTAAAGGTTAATACAAATATAGAATCAATAAAAAATATTGAATAAAACCGATAACAATGATTTAGATTTTAGATGTTACATAATGAATAAAAGGATCTGTTTATTAAATACTTGATTGTTAATTATGTTAAAATATAAATAAAGTTTTCAATAATAAATAAAGTCATCAATGGCTACTATTCATTATAGTTTTAAAAATTTTTCCTTTAAAATAAATTCCACGTTGTATATTGAAATAGCAAAAAAATTCAAACATACTCGTAGTTAAGGAAATTAATACATTAAATAAGTAAAGTAGTACCTACATTGACCTCCGATTGCTTTATATCAATGTCACTTTTGACTGTTAAGATCATAGAAGAGGATAATATATTATTACGATCATTGTCGCAATAATAATAAAAGTAAAATGGGCGTTAGTTTTATTGCTGACAACGAACTTGCTGCATGTTAAGGGCACACTTAAGGGCCACAGATCGATTACTAAGCAGTGTTTGATCGAAGGCCTTAAAATGGAAAACGCATACAGAATCGATTGATTTTAATCAAGTGCAGGCATCATCCTTATCAAGAAGACAGAAGTTGAAAGCAGAAACCAGGTCATTGTATAGTAATTGTACATATACATATTATGTAGGTTATTTTGATTTTTGTAGCAAATAATACGTGTGGCTAAAACAAGACAATATAGTAAAATCATATCATGTATTTTTTATAAGTTTTATGTAAAGTAAGTAATTTAAGTTTTAATAGTTGCTACTTAGCAAAGCATGCGCAGCAGTTCTGAGTCTGAAGAACACATAAATTATGAAGTTGACACAGTATATACCTATCTATACATATAATAAAATTCTAACTAAGCCGAATCTGTACATTAAATATTTTTTGGAAAATCTTATTAAGATCTATATCTATGAATCTATAGTTTTTAGAATTTTTGTCTGTCTACCTTGTCTGTTACCGCATCACAGAAAAACCACTGGAGGGATTTTGATGAAATTTAGTATGGTGATAGCTGGTCATCCGGGTTAACATATAGAATACTTTTTACCGCGGGAAAATATCTCATTCCTGAGAAAAATACAAAAACTGCATTGTAAGAGTATATTAATATGTAAAACCTAAGAATTTGCTGTTAGGTCATCTGAACGCAGGCGGAGCTGCGGGCAATGCTAGTAGTTAATATTATTGTGCAAAAGCTTATTAGACTAGAAATGATAAATTAATAATATAATGATAAACATAGTTTAACGTGGTCTTCGAGATAAGACACGCCAGACGATAGAACGACCTTGACCTGCTTGAATAAGAGAAATCGTTATGTGAATCATTGCTTGTCTATAGACATGCTCATTGTGCGCATGTACTATGACAATAACCCCTAAAATATTTAAGGCATTCGAAAATTTTGTTTAGAATTAAGAAGTTTATGTTCTAGAAATTATTTAAACATTTGTAATAATCCTATCGTCTAATAAGACCGTCTAGTGAGTCATTGTTAATTTAATGTGTACTGAGAACTGGACCGTAGTTTATTTTATAACTTATAACTTCGAGCTTAAAGACGCGACGAATTCTTACAAAAGTTCTTTTTTAATATTGTCACTTATTATAATATTTATATTCTATACTATAATAATATTTATATTCTATACTAGCGACTCACTCTCGCTTCGCTCGGGTTCGCCTCTAGAACAACAAAAGCAAATCTATCCCACGGGAATCATACATTTTTCCGGGATAAAAAATGCCTATGTGTTATTCTGATGTATAAGCTATATTGAACAATTTCATTAAAATCCATTCACTAGTTTTTGCGTGAAAGAGTAACAAACATCCATATGTACATCTATACATCCAGACATACACATCCTCACGAACTTTCGCATTTATAATATTAGTAGGATTAAAAAGCTTTAAATTTTTAAGGATGGTGCGGTAAAATATGAAATAGAATATTACATTTTATAAAGAAAGTGAAAGATAAAAAGCATTTTAACAAGTTTCTTATTCGCAGACTTTATTTAAATAGGCTCAATCACGTTTCACATATTTATTTTACATGTTTCAATTGGAGAGATTTGAAAGTTCAAATAACAAACTGCAAATATGAACAGCTTCATATGTTATCTAGACTTACATTTAAGAAATAAAATCGTGTAGGTAAGTTTTGTAATATTGCTAGGTCACAGGGTCGTCTTTTAGTGCTGAATATTAATGATGTAAAATAAATTATAACAAATCAAGTTTTTATTTTGAAAACTCAAATGTAGAGTTCTGTTCAAAGTTGTCTCATTATTGAGTATTGTGGTTGTTTAAATATTAAAAATAGATAGTGAGCTTTTTCTCAATAAGAGAAATGAGAATTTTACAATGGACTATAGGTGGGTTGCCGATCATTGAACTTGTGCGTGCCGATGCAACCACGTTTTTTTGCTAAGCCAGTCCTACCTGACTTCAGGTTGTTCGCTAGATGGGTAATCTAATTATAGGGTTCCCTATCCCGATGGACATACATGTCTTAGGCTTCGATACAAGTTTTTAGAGAGAGCTTGCTCATTGTCTAGTTAAATGTTGTTAACAAGAAACAAAAAATATCGATTATTACTTATTATGTTAGTTATAATTATTTAAGAATTTATATTTCGTAAAGAATGTTCGAATTCAAAGTCTCATCATTAGATCAAATGGATTCTTCATATTTTGTTATTTAGAATTTTATATTAATTTGATATTGATAAATTATTTACAATCTTTCTATATAAATAAAAATGAATTACCGAAATATATGTACGCGCTTCGCGCGCTTTAACTTCCGATCGACTGCACGAAATTGGATAACTCTTTTTTTGTGTTTGTTATTGTCAAAACAAGCTTAGTATAGAAGAAAATTAAAAGAAATTTTTTTTTACTAAAATAACTTTTTTTAAATCTCATGATATGAAAAGTGAGTGGGTGAAATAGTTTTATCTCGGAAATCTCCCTCGGGTGAGAATGGGGATGAAAGTTTGTATGGGGAAGCAAGCCAGGGACGAACTCCAGTGAAGAGAAGGTGATTCGCTGGTTTTATAATATTTATAACGATATCAGTTAGTTGTATTTCTAATATTAGTGTCATCCACCCGTTGGGTAATGTTATATGTAGAAGAGAGATGTCGCTACGTTACACCCCATGGTAAGGAAATAATGTTAAGTTTTGTAAGGCATTCCGTAAAGTGATCGAAATAAAGAAGGTTCTGAAACTCTGTAGTTTTATTTGAAAAGTCATTATTATCATTATATAATTCAACTTCACTGCTGATATTTATAAAATTTAAAAGATTATCAAACTATAGTAGTAAATAGAGATTCAAATGTCACATGTTTTTTATAAAAAATTATACATAGGAAAAATATCTCTTCACGTGTAAATTGAGTGATTGAGCGTATGTACGCCTATTAATTACCTACTTATACTCATGCCAGTTGAGAAAGAAAATTGATGTTTAATTGTAATACCTTGGA